GGGAAAAATGTTTTGGGTTTGGGGGGATCCTGTATTATCTACACAGAATGGTTCAAGCATCACATGGCTGGTGAATTTCAATAAGTGGGAGCCGTGTGGTGAGATTTCTTTATATGTTCTTCTATATCTGCCCAATCTTTGCATCTTTTCAATTTAAACTAAATGTCATTTCTGTGCTAATTTATTTACCTTTCTCGCATTCATCTTGGATATATATGGCAATAAATGTCTCTCCAACTTGGAAGACCAGTAATAGGAATTTGCATGTGAACATAATTGCCTTTGAGCCCTTGATTTCCTTGTTAGTATATTCATATAGAAACCAAGCCATGGTTGGTTCTTAATCTGATAAATGCTGCTTTAGAACAAAAGATTGTTTTAAACCTTGTCAAAGACTTGGATGTCATAGCATTTCAAGAATGCCAAGACTACAGTCCCAAGGGTTAACTTGTCATCTAAATGCTTCATTTTACATATTTTCCCTTACAGAAAAAAAAAAAAGTCAAATTCAGATATTAGCTATCACTCATAATATGTGCACACCAGAGACTAATTACAATGTAGCTCATACTTAGGACTGTTAACAGTTAGCTTTTCTACTGATATTCTTGTGCTAATTTTTGTAGGTAATGTGCGGTGCTGTTGTGCAACTCCTGAAAAGATCAGTGCTAATCCAAGAAAGCTAGAACATTATAATGTGCAAACCAACTATTCAAAATGATTTGCAGCTACAAGGATCACATGGGTTCATCCGGATGCATGTACAACAGACGTGGCTGCAAGGATCGAAATTGAAAGAGGATTCAACCTGGTTACTGTAAATTGATATCAAATACTATCCCTAACCTTTCCGGCTCAAGAGTAGTCAGTATTCAACTGAAGTAAATGTACTAATAATGTTAATATTCATTTCTTATATATAAAACTATACACAGCCACAGAATATCGGAGATCATTCCTTTCATAAGAATAATATTTCCTTAGGATTTGAACTAAGTTCTCAAACTTATGGTGGATATGAATAAATCATTTACTTTTCTTTTTTCGAGAACAATAACCATCTGTTTTACTAAGTTGAATTTAGAAATATGTATATGAATCAAATCCTAAGTCTTTGTTTGAGTTAACCGTACATGCAAGTCCGATTATGATCTACCATCAAAGAGTCCATCCAGTTCAGCTAATAACTTGAATTTGAATAGGAATCACAAAGATAAAAGTGAGCCTTTTTAGTATTTGGGGATTTTTGGATCAAAAACCAATCTTTACATAACACATGGTTTTAAAAGGGCTCACCAAATACCACATTTAATCAGTTTTCTTTTGTATGTGTAATTAAATGGAAAATAATCAAACTCAAGAATAAATCAAGCAACAAGAATAAAAATTATCACATCCACAAAATCAAGACACTAGAATTTTTAATGTGAAAATTCCTTAAGGGAAAAATACCAAAGGGACCTAGTCCAGTAAAAAAATAGCATTCTTACAAAGTTCTTTCTACTCTAGGAAACACTAGATGTTGCACACAACAATAAATCATCAAGAATAAAATTGTTGGATCACCAATGTATTAATCATCACCAAAATAAAGCTGGAAGTCAAAATCTCCAATCAAATTGAGAACCTCACTAAGTGTACGCGTGTGTCAAGAGGAATTGGAGACCAAATCACTGTTGATGATCGAGCAAAACCATAACTCCTCTAGTAACCTTCCTGCTGCTGTTGCAACTCACTCTCACAGTCTCTCTACTGTTTTTTACAATGTTGATCAAAACCAACTAGCGACCGTTATTTAAAGCTCCACTGACATGATACATTCAAGGTCCAAGCTCCCTGCAGTTCGTGTATGTGGTCATGAGGAGTTTTCTCAACACCGGATGGGTGGATACATACAACAAAAGAATCCTGAAGAAATAAGAAACTAAAATGGTTGGTTAACATAGTTGAGTTTGGCATAAATTAGCCTAATTATAAGTCCTCCTACAACTAACAACTTGCATTTAAAATTTTAAAATTTGCACACGTTAAAGAATTAGAATGTGACGATGCACCTGGAAAAGATTTGTGCATAATGCTGCCCCTAAGCTTTACTCCATCCACCTTTATATATATACATATATATCCTCGAATTGTCCTTGATTTAGGGAATTGATCAAGGGAAGTTACTAGAAAAACTCAAAGAAAATCCATGTCTGCAAAAATGAATTAAAGCTTAGCATTTTCTTGATTAAATGATAGAGAATCACTTTGAACAACTAAGGGACGAAAAAGTAAACCTTGCCTTACCAGAGAGGGCATTCTTTGGAAGGTAGAACATTATAGCTTCAAGCGTGCAACTATGACAAATCTGTGAACACCATTTTTCATCAAGCTGTTATTGGTTGAATCTATACTTTGCAAGTCAGCCCATTCTTAAGTAAAACAACAGTGTTTGTGCTGCAATATTGGCTGTGACTTGGGATTAATAAAGAGCGAATGCAGTACACATTGTCGGATTACTCATTTCTGACTCATCATATTGGAAGCATCATCTCCCACATGAAAGGCAACGTTAATGTCAAAGCATCCAGCAGCTGCTTTCTGAGATCTTGCTTAAAAAGGGAGGCTTGAACTTGTAATCTAGGATCAATCACCTTCTAACTAATCCTGTAGTTGACTTGAAAAAGGTAAAGGGTTTAATAAGATGCTAGAAGATTCAAGACATGAACTAAATTGGATGTTATACAGTTTGTAGGAAACCAGTCCCTAAAATTATGGGAAATGTGAGATAAGAAGATAACTTCTAGCACATAAAAGGAAAAAGCAAGTCACAAAACAAAGGGATCCTATAGAGGCCTAACAAGATTTTGCTATATCCTCTGCACAAGCAATAGGGAACATTAAAAAAGAATGGGAAAATAGAAAAATCAAAGGCTAAACTGAATTTAGGGCACACAGAAAGCATCAATTGTAACATAAAAAAGAAAGAGGGATAAGTGCACTGCAGAAATGAAATCAAAGTAAAATAATAACACAAAGCTATAGAAATCTATATTATCTGGAAAGAAATTTAAAAAATTGCAAAATAAATGATAGAAATTAGTCAATCTTTAATGCAACCAATATATATATTAATCAAGAGAAGGGAGTAATGGGAAATAATCATTTAATTCTGAGGTAGCTAGATAGCAGACAGATATACTAGTATATCATCAAAATGTATAATTTTGCTAAAGTAAAATGAATTGTAGAGATAGCCTGATATATCAAAATTTGATTCCCTGTTCTAAACAATGACAACAGGAAAGCAAATAGGCTTCACAATAAAATTTTAAAGAGGTAATTTGGATACGTACAGAGTAAGATCTGCTTTTCCAAATTAAAAACTTGTAAAACTACAGCTTGATTTAGTCAAATTACAAGCTTATATAATTCAGCAAAGGCCATCTGTGTTTCAGTTCCAACTTACAAGCTTGTTTAATTTGGAAAAGGTCATCTACGTTCCAGTTCCAGCTTATAGAAAAATCTCATTTGAACATCAACACCTGCTTGTTTCAAAAGTCTTCCCAATTCTTCAGAATGGAGAGCATGAGGTCCTGTAATATTGAACTTAAAATTAAAATTGGTTGGCTTGCCTAAGAACATCATTTTGCAAGCTCATTGGTGATTGTGAATTCCTGTGATGCCAAGGCTAACCACTCATTCCCTTCGAAATAACCTGAAAGCGTAAGCCATTTTTAAGGCAAGTGAATGCATGCACATTCTCAGAGGAAAATAATTTTCAGGTGGATAATAAATAGTATATACAGCTGATGAATCCAAGAAATGAATGAAGTATTAGTAACATTGAGGATTGGCTTGGCTTTATTTACCTCATCAACAATTGGTTGTAGCTAGCTCGCTCTACCAGTCAATCTGCACAAAAAGGATTTGCAATTTTAGAAAAATGGATCCTTACACTCTATGAGCATCACATACCACTGGAGAAGATACTAGGACGTAATTACTAACTTTGATGACTTCCCAAAGAAGACCTTTGTAAATGGAGTGGTTTTTTCTGGAGAGGATTTTGGTGGTGGAGGAGGTGATGGGGCAACAGCAGCTGCTACAGGAGCTAATTCATTCATAGGTTTAGTTGGAATAGGTGGTGCTGTCGTGGGGGAATATTGGACAAAGGTGCTTTTGTTGCCCCAACATTCTGTTTCAGATGCATCTCAAAGTCTCCAATCTGTCATGAAATAACAAATAGCAAACAAGCTAAAGCACCATATCAAACGACAATACATACAAAATGATAAGAACCCAAAGCTGGGCACTTGCAAGGCTTTACACCTAAAAATCTAATTGGTATTTAAACTTTTATCACTCATGATAAATAAATAAATTCTAATATAGAAAATTTAAGGAATTTCTAAGTGAACTATGAAGAAATTATGTCTTCCAAAAGGTCAAGCAAATCAGTCAATAACAAGGGTAAAAGAATCAACCTTCATTTTCAGCTCAGCAATATATCTGTCTCATCACAGACCTCTAGCATCAATTCCTGATAAATTTGAAAATAAGAAATAAGCAAATTAAGCATCAACTAGAATCAGAGTAAAGCCAACATTTTCAGTCCAATATATCAAACGAACACCAAGATAAATTCCAATCAATATTGATCAAGAGATAATCACAAACATAATAGAAACTAAACAACAGCCTAATGAAGTTCAGAAAAAGAGCACCTCCAGGAAGTGAATTAAGTGGTGAACACATTAAGTTGGTAGATATTCAGCTGTTGATCTAATGCCAGAGAAGTTTAATTTTGCATTGAATACAACAAAAACCAATGTGATAGAGGTTTATCAATAGCACAGTGTCACACTTCAATTACAGTCAATCGTTGCATTTCTCCCAAAAAGGAAAAAAAAAAAGAAAGAACTGGAAAGATTGCTTAAACTTAAACTAGAGTAGATATAATAAACTCACCACCGGATTTGGCCGTCACAGTAGATTTCCATGTCTTCATACATGATATTAGAGAAGAATTGGGCTTCCCACCAGCCACCAAGCCAGAGACATGCGATGTTTTTAGAGTGCACCAGTTGCCATGGGGCACGTGAACTGTAGCAGGCCTTTCGTGTAAAAATCGTGATTGTGAAACTATGCCTAGTAGACCTGAAATTTTAATAACAGCATATAAGCTTCCAATTTGGAAGATGAAGGCTTCACAAGAGCTAAAATCTGAATCCACTTCCTTTTTCTTAATGCAAATTAAATTCATCAACCTAACCAGTTTAAGAAACTGCCTGCCTGCCTGCCATTTAACATTTCAAATGGATGCAAAGCTAATCCATAAGAAAACAAAACATAAAGCAGATCTTTCCATCTCCAGTTCAGAACTCCAAAATTTAAACTGAATTACTTAAAATAGAACTACCAAAAACAGAAAAGGAAAATAGGAGAAAAGGCAGAAGAAGTCTGAGAAAAGTGTATCTATTAAAGATTTTTCTAAATTCTTATATGAAATGCGTAAAATTGCGATGCCCGTTTCAGTTCACACCAAGCTCTTATTACCTAAAACTCACTTACCGAAACATCGGGAATGCTCCAAGTAAGAGTCCAGTAGTCTCCTCCCGCCTCAAAGCGCTGTCGATTTAGATGCGGACACCCGTGGATGTATAGTTGTCCAAGTGAGGGAGGGAAGGCTTCCTTTGGCAAAGATCGTAGCTTCGGGCAGTTTCTTATTTCTAAGCTTTGAAGGGAGCTTAGGTTTTGGAATAGCCCCCCAGGTATGGATTCCAAATTTTCTTCTTTCTCGATCTGAAGATAGGTTAAAGTAGAAGGCAGCACAATATCCAGAGGGAATTTCTCCATAATTGTCAACGATCGAAGAGACGTAAGGTTTTGGAGGCCCATCATCAAAGCCTCATCTGAAAGAACTAGATCCTGAATCGATGTGAGCTGGTACATTGTATTCGGCACACACTTGAGATTCTTACACCAAATTAATTGAAGATCTATTAAGTTTGGGGGCAAACCCCCATCTGGAATGAACTCGATGCTGGGGCAGTGAAACATCCATAGGGTTTGAAGAAATTTCAGCTGGTACATCGTATTTGGGAGGGATTTGAAATTCTCACACTCTTGTATCCACAACTGCTTAAGATTGGGGGTGCATGACCACAACTCTTCTGGTATGGACTCTAAAACTTCACACCTGTAAATATATAATTCAACGAGATTGCTGCCGTAATTAAGGTTGGGTAAACTTTTCAATATTTTACAATTCGAAATAAAAATGGATTGGAGTCCCGTACAATTCTGCAACATTCTCTCTGGAAATGATTCCAACCACTCGCCACCATCAGTAACTCTAAATTTCTTGAGAAAAGCTGATAGCTGATGACAACTACCCTGAGAAGAATACAAACATGAAACATTCATTATTTCCAAATGTAGATTGTCACCATCAGCATCTGGTAAAGACTCAAGACCTTTACATTCATTTATACTCAAGTATTTAAGTGAGCTGGGTAATTTGCCTCTTGGAAACGACTTGAGAGAATCACAATAACGAATTTCCAACCTTTCTAGTCTCGACATCAACATACTAGTGTTGTTGCTACTGCTTCCATCCATCCTGATCATCATTGCATTGGGTAATGACTCCAAGGCTCTACAGTTCTGGAGGATAAGATGTTTAAGATTGAAAGGCAAGAGGGTTTGTTCTATATCTGTCCCTTCCTCCCACAAACAAGTAAGATCATTGCAATTAGAAATATACAAAGTCTCAAGTGCTGTACAAGACTGTGTAAAACTCTCAGGCAAGCAAGTCAGTTCTGAAATTTGCCCAATTCTCAAGTTAGTGAGGGAAGTGAGATCAACCATGCTCTTAAAAAGCACCTCGTTGCAGTAGCTAATAGACAACTCTTTCAATGATGGAAGACTCATGCTCTTCAAAAGCATCCCGTTGCAGCTGCTAACATCTAACTCTTTAAGTGAAGAAAGGTTGTTGGGTAATTGTCCTAACAACTTAGGACAATTTTCAATCACAAGCTTATGAAGACAAGGGAATTCACCTGCACTTCCAGTTGGAGAAGTCCATTCCCTCCACTCTAGCATGTTTCTAAACACCAGTTCAACCAGTGATGGAAAAGAGCCATGCTGCCCATAAAACTCAGAACCTATAGCTTCTATTGAACCCATGCCTTCAATAATCAATTTTTTGAGAACAGGTAGTAGGCCAAAAGATGGTAACAAAATGCATCTCTTACATCTACGAAGCTCCATGGATGATAAATTGAAAAATAATGATGGATCACAAACCCAGGGAGGGAAATTCTCACCACCATAGTAAGAAATTTTGAGACTTTTCAAATTTGAATGAGGTTTTAAC